TCCGATCTATATATATATATATATAATAATAATGTCAGTAACATATATCACAATACATGTGCCAATCGTCCTTTTTGTGATCTCAACCAAGGAGATTACGAGGTCCTTGAACACAACAAAGTCTTTAGCTCACTTGAGGGGTCAAGCAATTGAAGAGCCAAACGATGAGTATGCGCTCTTTTTTTAAAACATTTTATGAAATTTGCCACAATTGTTGAGACTTGTAAAGCTGTTAAAATGTTTTGCCAGTAACCTACTCATTCCAACATTTGGATAGCAAGTTTTGATAAATCAAATTTTGGAATATATTTCAGAAATTAAATTCATAATTTAGAATTTTCATCAATGTAACATTGTACCTAAGTTGAATCATGCGAATTGTGAGGATCTTTAACTAGAGGTTCAACTAATCTTGAGGGAAAAAGATATGTAAGATTTCTATTTTGAGCAGAACTTCATAATTTATTGTTCTCCAAACCTTGAGAGAGGTTTTAGAGGGATAGAGTCTGACCCCCTAAAACTTTTTCCTTTTTCTTCTGTTAGATCCTTCTTAAAGGCAGGTGTGTCCATGGTGGGTGTGATTTGAAGTTGAAGTTGAGAATCTTTGGTGTGGGGCTCATCTTCTCCAGGCTCGAAGAGGTTCTTTCTTTTCCTTTCTCTCCTTCGATTCTAGTTGCTCAAAGTAAAGGTAAGGGAAGCTAAGAACTTTGGTTCTTATTGAATTGATGATTTGAATGTTGATTGATGTCACATGAAAATGTTGTTGAGCTTGTGTGATTTGGATTGAATGATTGGGGTGGAGATTTATTTCTTATAAAGCATGTTTAAGATGAAATTGTTGAATTGATCGACTTGGTGATTGCATGTTGGATGTATGGTGCAAAATGGGTTATGGATGATGCATATATGTTATTTAGTGCCTTACATGTTAGTATTTCCTGTGTTTCAAGTGGATTGATGATATTTACATATTCATGTTGGTATTTCCTATGTCTTCATTTGTAGATTTTTTATGTCATGTAAGCCTTCGTGGTGCTGGGCATGATTCTAACCAAGGGTCTCTGTCTTAATCACATCAAATGCAGGATTGGTGGCACTGAGCGTGAGAAGAGAGACTTGTCTCAGGTTGGAACGACATCGAGTGTGATTTGAATGACATTGGGCATGAGAACACTAGAAGGTCTATTACTTTGTGGCATAGGACCCTAGTTGGGTGGCACCAAGCGTGACCAAGGCAGAGACTCTTTCCTTAGATATGCTAAGCACCACTGAATTGATGTCGGATGTGAGTAAGGTAGAGGCTTTTTGCCTGATACAAGGTCAAACATAGGTTTTTCCATGTTAAGTGAGAGGTCCCAAGGGTTCCCTATCTCATTCATGTCGAGTGAGGGTCGAGTGATGCTAAGCATGGACGAGGTAGAGAGTTCCCTACCTTGATGGCACCAAGTGTGAGGTATGTTGTGTCGAGCGTGAGATGCTCAATGGAAGACTGGTGTTTTGTAGTACAATCTAATGAACAAGTAGATTTTTAAGTTTTATTACATGTTGAATGGTGTATGATAGTTGTTCTATATATGTTGATTAGATATGACATTTGTAGATGGTTGTATGACGTCAGATGATGAGAATATGTATGTTTTGTGTGTGCACGGGCGCATGTGTATATGTATGTGTGTGTGTGTGTGTGTGGTATTGTTGATCTTTATATGCATTAACTGGATGTAATGTATATAGTTGATGTATGCATGAGGTGTGGATGCTAAGAATGCGGTATGACATTAAAACCTGTTGACTAACTTAGGACTTGAGGAGAGGAAACAGTTTATGAAATCTAAAGATCCCATATAAGGAAATCTTAGAGTGTTGCTCAAGTAGACCATTGTTGGAAAACCCTCCTTGAATAGACGTGTCTCTTGGAGTGGGCTTTAAGGTGTGTTGAGTCTCTATATCTTTAGTTAGTGATTGAGTAAGGTAGGAGATCGAGGGTTATAACCATTAACCAAGTACTTGAAAAGGTTGTGTGGCCCATTAAGGATAATTAATGGATAAATTTTATGAGACTTGATAATTCATGTCAAGATCATGATAAACCTATACCCAATTGTACTATTCCTAATGGTGAAATTGGACTTTCCTAGTATAAGTGACAAAACTTGAGAAACCAGAGGAGGGATTATTATCCCAATTTACTTTGATCGAGTCAATGCTTTGGGTGCGAAAATGATTGGGTTCGTTTAGTAGGGTAGAATCACTTAGACTGTTCATGTTGTTAGGAGATATCTATAGATGAATGCATAACAATGCATTTGAGGTGTATGCATATGACGTATGTTTGGTGTGTTCATATGCATTGTTAGATGTCTTGTTGGACATGGTTTGGATGAGATATATGTTAGCTTTAGGGTGTTTAGCTTTCATAAACGTTTTTGGTATGATGTTGGATGATATAGAAAATTTTTTTCTATGTTTACATGTTTTAGAACTCAAGCTTACCCTTTTGTTTCAATGTGATTTGGATTGTGATAGTCATAAGTTGTATGAGAACAAATTAGGGCTAGGCTAGAGGAGTGGTTGTTGTCTGGTGGAGGGATCCTTTTGTTGATGTCAATACTACTTTATGTAACGTGTCTAAATGTGCTTATTTGGTACTAAGTTATATAGTTTACCTTTGGAATTATTATATATACATGCATATGATTTATATCAGTACAACAATTGCACTTTTATGTTCATATTATATATACGTCCATATATCTGTTAGTTAAACTTTTATAATTCTAATAGATTAATTTTTATTGCTAGTAATGATTTCATAGTGTAATGACTATGGTAAGTCATTACAATCAACAATTGAAAATATGTTCCAGACTATAATTTTCCAACAAAAAGGTAATTTTAGAAGAAAAAATAATAATTCTAATGCATAAAACAAGTTAGTAGTCAAAAACCCCAAGCATCGCAAAAAAAAAAAGGGCTAAACAAGTTGATCCATCAATGAAATACATCTTGTCATCCTTATCTTTTAATGTAAATATTCGTATTTATACAAAATTATAAATATTTATTATAAATGAATATTAACAATAATTAACAATAAAATTATTATTTATAATTTTTTATGAATAAAAATTACAATACCAACAACGATAAAATTAGGACTTTATGCATATTATTATATACTCCAATCTCTCACTAGTAGGTTAATTTTAATGATTTTATCATTTATGATTTAGTATAGTGATATTAATATTTATTATTATTTTAAACATTTAAAATATTAAGATATATAGTTTATCATTAAAATAATTTAGAATGATATAATGTTATTCGAAAAACCAACATAAAAATATATATTATTAAAATAGTTTGGTACTATTATAAAAAAAATTATTAGAATACTTATAAAAAAATAAGAAATTATATTTTTGGTCTTTTATCTTACTTTTAATATTCACTTTGGTTTTTATCTTTTAAAATATTTATTTTGATCTTTTATTTCATAAATTTATGTTAATTTAATCCTATGAAATTATTGGGGTTATTTGTTGGTATTTATCTTAAGGAATATTTTATAAGGGTTATAAAATTTTTATTTGTTAGTATTTATTTTTGGTTATCATCTAAAAGACCTCCCAATCACTAGAGTATGTTTGTATTTTATAAACTGTTATTTCTTTTGTTATTCTATCAATGTGAAATATTATTTGTATCCCAACACAAACAATGATAATTTTTAATTTTGAGACATGATTTAAAAAAAAATATATTGATTCAAGACTTGGAAAATTTTTTTACACCAGACATGAAACTTATTTCACTAGATCCACTTATATAAAAAAAATGATTGAAAACAACTAAAATTCAAATGAAAAAGCGTCATAAACATAATAAAATTCATACAAAAATAAGTATAAAAAAATCAAAAAATTAAAAAATATAATTTCATATTATTTTCTAGTTGTTAGTGTGATATAATTTATTTAATTTTCATTACATTTATTTCTCTTTTGAATTAGATAATCTGGTGAATTTTATTATTTTCATATAAATGAATTAGTGTTACAAATTTTGAATTTTTTACTCAAATAATACTATTTCAAAAAAAATTACCTAAATAGTAACTGTGCAAATTTATTTCCCAACTAGCACCATTTACTATTCACGTTCAGAACGGGCCGTTCTGATTTCAGAACGGGCCGTTCTGATTTCAGAACGGGCCGTTCCAAATTAAAAAATAACATGTGACAAATGGATCAGAACGGGCCGTTCCGGATTCAAAATTAGCACATAAAAAGTGGAACTAGAACGGGCCATTCTGAATCCGGAATGGGTCATTCTAGCATATAAATAATTTTTTTTCCCGATTTTCACTTATCAAATACCAAAACTCAGAGACTACCATCAAGTGATTAAATTTATTGAATATTAACATTATAAATATAACTAAATAAATTTATTAAAATTCATTACAACAATAAAGATCAATGGTGGCGGAAACTGAATTCATGACCAATATTTGGATATGTCTTCTTAGTGTGACCAGGGGTGTGTATATAAGAACAATTTTTTAAACGATTATGTTGTTCTCTAATGTCCATCTGTTCTAATCCTGCTGGACTTTGGCCGACTCCTGAAAGTTCTCTTGAGTTCTGGATTTGGCCACAAAGTTGGAAGAAACACAACATCCGAGATAAGTTTGAACTGCTGGGAGATTTACAGTAAGACTAAATGAAATGTGGTATGATTGCGACAAGTTCCAGAAAGTTCATATCCCTTGCTCGCATGACCCACTGGGAGATTTACAATAAGGTTAAATGAAATTTGGAGAGCTCCGACATGAAGATTATTAGCCTACTTATACTGGTCCAACTTTGTGGCCAAATCCAGAACTCAAGAGAACTTTCAAGGGTCGGCCAAAGTCCAATAGGATTAAAACTGAGATGGACATTAGAGAACAACATAATCAGTTTCCGCCACCATTGATCTTTATTGTTGTATTGAATTTTAATAAATTTATTTAGTTATATTTATAATGTTAATATTTAATAAATTTAATTATTTGATATTAGTTTCTGAGTTTTAGTATTTGATAAATGAAAATTGGGAAAAAAAATTATTTATAGGCCAGAACGGCTCGTTCCGGATCCAGAACGGCACATTCTGGTTTCACTTTTTATGTTTTAATTTTGAATCCGGAACGGCCCGTTCTGATCCATTCGTCATGTGTTATTTTTTAATCTAGAACGACTCGTTCTGAAATTAGAATGGTCCGTTCTGAACGTGAACAATAAATGATGCTAGTTGGAAAAATAAATTTGTACGGTTGTTATTTGGGTAAATTTTTTTTAAAAATAGTATTATTTGAGTAAAAAACTCTACAAATTTCACCTTTAGAATCAATAAAAATTCATTATTTTTGTATAGTTATGTTATACTAAGTATAATAACATGTCAGATTCTTACAAAAAAAACTTAACTTCGTAAAGAATCAAGACTTAAATAAATTAGCAAATCCAATAATAAAGTGAATACAAATTGAATTATAATAGTCATAGTATGTGTGTTATATTTTAATCCTTTTGATAAGAGTTGCATCCTAATGCAAATTAAAAGACCTAAGAATTGGTGGATATGTTGCACATGAAGGATTCTACGATTTGAAGATTAGATATGGACGCCTAGAAATAATTGGGGTCATGATATAACAATGATGCACAATTTGCACAGCAGGTAGAGGAGATGAGTAATTTTGAATAGGCGCGAGCCAAAAAAAAATTTTTGAACCGTTTATTTTATAGAACAAATTTATCTACTTT